ATGTCTGGAAAAATCACTGTTTTTATCAGCAGCGTTACGTCAAGTATGGAGGTAAGAATTGCCTGGAAATCTGAGCTATAATAACTCTCTATATGTTTGCAGTTTACCATCTCTAAGCCTTCACATAAATTGTTAAGTGGCCTGAAATAAAATGATGATGAGTGAGTCATATTTAGCTACTTTAATGGTGTTTCTGTTGATGTACCTGTTACTCATTTTTCAGGCGCGTTACTGTTATTTTCCACATTCTCTCTTCTTTTATATTATATTAACTCATCCTTTACTCTTCACTTTAAGTTAGCTGATTTGCATGTCTCCATGTATTATTAATTATTAATATTATTTGCTTGCTTATTTGCTAATACTTGTGTGTCATTCAATCAGTTAATTTGCATTTTGTTATAAAGTAATTAATCTTCTTCGCGTTTACCAGCTGTAAACTCTGGTGGAAAGTTCTGGTTGTTCAAGTTGTTCATCCACTTCTGGACTCAACTGCAGTCCCGTTCTAGAACCTGAGTGTTGTGTGCGCATCCGTTGTCGTTGTACAGATCTGACTCATTCATATGCAGACTGTTGGTTCCTTGCCTCTCAGGCTGATTTACTCAGACTTTGAAGAAAGCTCAATTAGTGGATTCTTACTATTTGCTTTTGGGTAGCAGTAGGTCTGTCTCCCCCCCCCCCCCCCCCCCCCCATATAAAACTGAAAGGCCCCAGAACCCACACAGGGATTAATTAATAGTAATATCTGGTAGTCTTAGTTTCAGTTTCATAGCAAACGGGTCACCCCATAATTGCTCCGCTCCTGTGCCAACGAAAAACACACGGAATGTTTATCACAGTCCCTTGTGGAAAGATTGACAGACTGCTGTCTCAGCATATGCACTAGCAATCACACACATTAAAAGCATATGGTAGCCATCCAAAGTGCTAACACAAACAGTCCAACATTAGAAGTGCAGTTTATCATGGATGGTAGCAGAAGTCCCCAACAGATCAGCAGTTGCCCACGTGATCAATTTTAATCACATAATGGCACCACTAATATGCGACAACAGGCATCGCACCATTTTCTGAAGCTGCAGTTCACACCATCATGTTGGTCACAGTAAAAAAAAAAACCATTCCAAATGAAATCAGCAGCTCACAGTGTCACACCATGCACTCAGAAGCTGGGTGACGAAACTGTCTTTTCAGTCTACAAATGGGGCAAAAATGCACATGCCACCGTCTAGCAGAAGCAAAAAAATTAGCCACGGCTAACAACAGTGACCATACCTAGCGTCCATTTTGACCGGAAGTCAGTAAGTAATATAAAAATGCATATGCCTCTTTACATCATCCACGATGTGTACATCATAGTACATGCACATCTCACCAATCTGTAACCAATACAATAACAATTAACTTATTATTGTGTGTTTTTTTTGCCCAACCACCATGGCAGACCCCCTGAGTTTGTTCCACAGACCACCAAACTTGACAGATTAGGTTAAACCATTTACTGTTCACTCTGGGGGACTTGGGTTTGGCTTTAGTTCATAAATGCAGAGATCCCTAGGGGCCATGGAAGTCATGGCGTGATGTTGACCACATCCTCCACCAAGTGCCCCATGTCTGTAATATATAGGTCTAGCCCTATATGCCCAATACATCTAAAGGCATAAAAAATAGTCCTTTACTTTACCTTTTTTTTTTTTGTTTTTTTTTACTAAGATAGAAGTCAGTCATCTCGCCTTTTAACTTTTTTTTCATTTATACTGATTTATTTTCTGTTGGGAACAAAGTTACAAATTCAGACCATGCAGTTTGTGCCAACTACACTAGCCATGAGGCCTTAAATCCTCAGGCTGACAACACCCATTGCCCTAAAAAGTGTTAAACAGAGTTACGCACAGTTTTTTTCTCCCATTTGTACAGGTTCGTAAACATCAGATGAAGATTCAGGATGTGTTGTCGGGTGCTAAGATAGACCATGAAGTTGTCGATGTTTCCGCAAACAAAGAGGACCTGTCCAGAATGAGAGATATTGTTGGAGACTCTCATGCTCTGGCACCCCAGATAGTCAACGGAGATAATTACTGTGGGGTAGGTAACCTTCTCTGTCTGTTTGCTGTGAGGCAGGTAACCTAATGTCTGTTTATTTATGTACCTACTTTGTCTGTTTGGCTGTCTGTCTAGTATGCATACGTCTGTCTGTTGACTGTATAATCTTTTCCTAAGTGCAAAAAAAGACACTTTCTAATGAAATATATGGTTAGGTCTTAGATTTAAGATATGCGGGAATTCTTGAACCAAGTACATTATCATTATGTCTTGCCGCTATATGTAACATAGAGCTAGTCCTTTATTTCATCCTAGCATATGCATTCCTTCTGATGTCATAAATGGATTTATTATCTCAGGTTTTTATTTATTTTGACTTGTAATCCATTTAAATTGAATACTTGGCCTCATGTACGTCAACTTTGGCCTTTTATTAACTTGGGTCATCTCATTCACTCTAACTCTGAGCCTTTTGGAGAATTATATTATATAATTTCTGTGATTTTGCAAACACATTCTTCATTATTTCTTTTAATAAATATTGAACAACAAAATACTTCAGTTTTCATTATATTTCAGGTAAAGTAAATAAAGAAAATTATCCTTTGAGGTCAGTGATGCATCTGGCATTAGATGGTAAAGTAGATACACTTTTTTCATAGACCGACCAGTCAGTATTCAATGAGTGGTGTGGTCAGTAACAAGCCGGCTGCCTTTGCTTCCCAGGATTGGTACTCACTTTAGGCTAAATATATTCATAAGGTGTTTATATTTTACAGTCTTTTGAGATAGCTGATGTAATTTAATCAGGTAGGGGCTCTCGCGGCTTTACCTAGCATCAAGCCTCTTTGAGTCCAAAACGGGCTCTAGTTGCAGCCAACCTTAGCTGTAGGGGTGGCACTAGATGGTCATGATTTAGTTCTAAGTGAACCTGCGTAAACCTGGGTTTTCTCTTTTAAAACAGGTAGTTACTTCTGAATGTCATTAATTTTGTATTTCACTTAAGATTCACAAGTTTGCTTCATTACAGTCAATTTTACTTTAGTATGCACCCAGTGCAAACATGGTTTGTAGTGCCGGGTTCGATCCCAGCTTTGGGCCTTGCGCCTTAACGTTGGTTTCGACAGTGGTATAGAGAAGCGGACTGTCCAGAAAAGCAGTGCCAAACTACTGGATGTAAACTTGCCTAGGAAAACCACAACAGCCAAAAAATGCTGGAGTTGGTTTCGCATCGTCCTGTAAAGGATATGCAACTGACTATGCGCCCAGTGAGTTACAGTGAAGTATGCCAGGCAGTAAATTGTGTCAGGTCTTGGTCAGATATGACTGAGCTACTGTATAACAGTAGCCGGTACGACCTGTCTTCTGTTACGCTGAATTTTGGGCGGCGTATACCAAACCTGACATTCCATATTGTGCCTACAGCTTCGGATGGAGGATCTCATTGGGGAGGTTACCAGCCTTATCCTAGGAAGAGGAAATGCAACCTGAAAAATTAATGTTATAGCAGGGCAGGCCAGGCCCTTTGCTGGCAGCTGGTCTAGGAAAAAAGATCTGACAGGCGGATAGATAAAGCACTGCTCTTCTGATCCGACAGCTTTTGCAGCCTGCTTTGTTCCAAACATACTGGTGTTACCTTTCCTTTGGAGTAAATTACGCAGGTCAAGCGAGGGATCATGATGCATGGGCAACCAATGATCTCTACAATACTGCCTAGGCTTTGAGCTGTGGAGAGGATGAACTTCATCCCTGGCCATAATTGGTCTCTCATCATCACCATGGGCTGTAAGTTCCTTGCTTTTTCATAATACATTTTAACACTATCATATGGAAAGACAGAAAGATGCCGGTCAATCAGATTGTGCTGTTTGTCTTCTTTTTCCAGATTTAGTTGTGGTTTATTTGTCTCATTTTAAATGTATTCTTCCATCTTAGAATTACGAGGCTTTTGATGAGGCAGTAGAGAACAAGACGCTAAAGGAGTTTCTCAAGCTCTAAGCGGACCTTCCAGATATGCTGTTCTAACACCACTCTAGCATTCGTTTTTACCAGGTGCTACATCTGTACCCACATACCTGCCTGGAAAAGATAGCAAAAGTTGTAACAATTACAAAAAATATATGCATGAATGTATTTAGGTATCCAGATTTTTTTAATGTGTCAAATATTTTCTTTTTAAGTATTTAAATCTTTAGGAATTGCAAATATATTGTCTTTCAGAATGTTTGACATGTAGATGAAAAAAAAAGAATTGTCTAATATTTGTCTCCAAGCTGTAATTTTAGACTGAGTAGCTAAATTTACTTAAATTGCATTAGAAACGAGAGTTTCTGGCTACTTTGCCAGATGTTTTCTTTATAACATGCCAAATTCTATTGTATGTAAAATAAGCTAATGTGCATTTTTTTGAGTCTGTATGAGTATACACTAATGTAGAATTATTTTTATAAATGTAGAACATGTCTTTCAGTTCTGTTTTAGATAGTTAGGTAAGCTAGCAGGCAGTATATTGAGTGAGTTAATGGATAAATAGTGGGTAGGTATGTAGATAGATACATAGATGGGTAGATTAGATAGGAAGGTAAGGAAGACTAGGACACAGTTAGGGGCATATGTGTTGATTTAGGTGTGAGGGTGAATATATCGAAATGATTGCTTGGGTAAAAAGTTGAGGCTGGAAAGCATGTATGCATGTAAGTTTGTGGGTGTGTGAATGCCTGGGTGTTTAAATAGGTAGGTGTGGGTTTTTTTTAAGGCTGGTTGACAAGTGTGTGCATGAGTAAGTTGGTATGAAGGTAGGTAGATTGGTGGAGATAGGTAGGTACTTAGGCTGGCATACAGGTAGGTGCATGAGTGAATTGGTATGAAGGTATGTAAATTGGTTTGGGTAGGTAGGTATTTGGGCTGTCAGAAAAGGTTTTTAGCGAATTAAACTTATCAAAAAGATCACATTATGAAAATAATTTTAAGGTTTCTTTTGATGTTGTTGGTGTATTACTTTTAAGTATTTTATAAGGGAATGGAAAATCATCAGTTGAGAATTTATATCTACATTTGCATAGTTTTATATCAGTAATAAATTGATCACATGTTTGTTAATTTGAATAAGCATTACCGGGAACAAAGACTTCTGCTGATATTCCGTATACTTTTTTTTTACCATATTTTGGGCCAGCTTAGGGCATCTTGAACCCGATGATTTCGGGCCATGAGGCTAAAACAGTCAACCTGGACTGTGCAGGTGAGGATTTTATTCTTGAACCCGAAAGAAAATATCCTTACCAGGAATTCAGATGTTGTCTCCTGAACGAGAACCCAAAATTTTTATCTGCTTGGCCAAATTTGAAAATAAATAAGAATCGTATCAGGGGCCCTTTTCATACCATTTAGGTATCCGGGGCTAGGTCAGTATTTTGATAGACGTGTTAGCATTTCACGGTTTCTGTGACTGCCATCACACATTTACTGGGTCTCGGGGAGGCCGCATGGTAGCATAATGACTAGTTGCTTTCCAGGCAGCCTTGGAGATCTGGGCTTGGAATCCACTTTAAAGTGGATTTTTTTTTCTTACAATTTTTATTAATCTCCCATGTTGAACCAGCTTTAAGTGGGTACCAGGTATTGTCCTCAGAAGTTAAGGTGCTTGGCATGATGTTGACTACATCAGTCTTTGAGCGCCAGCTGGCCTTTAAAAATATAGGTCTAGTACTATATGTCTATTCGCAGACAGGGTCCTTTTCACTAGTGCATCATGTAGTGATGGAAATGTGAAACAGGTTTGATAACTCAATACAGGTGTCTTTTCTGATAACATCAGCACTGATGTTTTTTGTGTTTTTTTTTCAAAATAAGAGAAGCTGTGTGTGATGCTTGTTTGATGTTATAATGATGTATCCTGTATTAATTTTGCTAAAGATTGCTGATGGTGACTATGTGTGGTTTTCTGTTAGCTGTTTCATTCTGATGTTTGCTGTTCCAGTTATTTTACAGAAGGGTGAGAGTAGCCTTTCATTTTTTTAGATCGCCCTTGAAATGATCTGTGGCATGCTGTGTTGTGGTTTACAGCTATGCTACGATAACTGTGTCTTTCGGCCTAACACATTTATATTCAGCTTACTCCTAATTACTTAGATGTTAAAGGGGGCAGTGGGTCTATTACTCCCACCACCAACATTACCCCCCTCCCCCCTTACCTAAAAAAAAAAAAATTCAAGTGCCCTGCAGCCCACACAGTGGTATCAGTATCAACTGTGCTGGTTGGAATTTTTTTTTTCAGCCAAAAATAACTTATCAGGATATCAATTCTGAATCTCTTGTTGAATGTCAAACTAGCATTCTAAGCACTAGGCCAGCCACTTCTTTGCCCGTTATACTTCATCCACTCTGGAGACCTCAGAGACAGCGAGCAAGAGTTCCACCTGGCTGTACACACTGAGGGAGAGAAAAAAAACCTGCAGTTTTCTGGTTTTGATCCTTATTTTGAGTGAAATCTGCCAACTCGAAACCACACTGATAATGGGTGCTTGCTTTGTATACATTTTTAGCGATGTTTTTATAATCGTTTTAAATTGCCTTGTGGTGGAGGTGCGGTTGCAAGACGCTTTCGACAATTATTTGGTGATTATTATCATTATATTGGCATTTATATAATCAGCATTTTAAACAACCCTCCGCTATACTGTTTGTTATGTTACTGTATTCTCTGCCAGGTGTCGCTTAAGTTTTCTTCTTCTTCTTTCTTCTTTTATCATCTCATTGACACCAGGTAGTAGCGCAATGTCTTTCTTTTCTTGGTCTTCCTCTCGCTTTCCTCCCCGATTTAAGTTTCCATACATATGAAAAATGCTGTTGTTTTGAAAACACATTTAGATGTGTGTCCTCTGCTGCCGGAGAACATGTATAAGCACAGCTGGAGTTAAGCCTGTTGGTAATATGTTTATTTTACTTCATATATGTGGAGACCTGGGAACACCCCATAGCAACAGAAGACCACTGCAGAAACAGTAAAGGACTGTTTCATGCCAGTGGGACATCAGGTATGTGGTGCAAAAGCCATTTTTTGTAGACCAGCGTACCCTCGGTGTGTGTTGTGGATATTTCTGGGTGCACATTTTGGGCTGTGTTAACTAGGAAGCCCTGGTCACTTATAACAATCTGTACTGGTACGGGTTCAAAGCCTAAACCTTTGAGCTAGCAAGTAAATGTTTTAACTCTTGCTGTGAGCAGGGCTGACAGAGGTAGCTGTGGTCATACATAGAGTGGTGTGCCTAAACATACATGGGAGCCGAATTGGTTAGACACTTGTTTGCCGACCTGAAGATCATGTGTTCACATCCACGTCCTGGTCGATTTCTTCAGACTTGACCTTTGCTCCCAGGTTGACCCAAACTAAAAGGGGTACCATATAATGTCCTAAGAAATAAAGTTGGCCAGTATGATGCTGACCACATCACCCACCGAGGCCCGATTGGCTAATAAATATTTGAGCCTCGCATCATATGCCCGATACACCACAAAGAATGGTGTGCCTAAACATACATACGATACACAAAATATAGTCCTTTACTACCATTTCTAGAGCCATACATATAGTTTTGTGCTAGCAGTAACACATTCTACATGTTGGCAACTGCAAATCTCATTTTATAACGATAGTAAAATGAAACAAAATGCAATACTGCAGATGTGTAATATCTACCAGACATTCCTAAACTAAATTACAGGGCTCCGATCAAGGGAAGAGGAAAGGAGGCAGGCCAAAACAGACATGGAATCAAAATTGGGCAGAGTGGACAGGTCTCAGATATAAAAACATTAAGTCCAGCACATCTGCCAGACATAGAAAGGTGTGAGCAGTCAACAGTAACTGAGTGACACAGATAACATACATTAGTTTAGTACTATTCAATGAATTAGTTAACCCCAAAAAAGAAAACATTTTATTTTTAGTTTAAAGTGAATCAGTAAAAAATAGTCTTTGAACAGTCATTAACATCTCGTGCGAGATGCACTGTGGGGATTGGAATAAGAACTGTATGTACTAACAAGCTGTGAATAGCACTCATAGAAAGAAGCAGAGGCAGGATGACACAGTAAATGGGATAACAATTCAAAGCTGTAGTTGCCATATCAAGACTCGAACCTGTTGCCTCAGTCTTCTTTGGTCCTTCTCTCAGAAAACCTGTCAGGATACCAGTACCCAGTGAAAACTATTGTGCCGTCCAGATCTTCCCATCTGACATACTTTTTTGTTTTATTGGGGTTGGAACCGGCCAGATGGCAGCATACACTTGACAGTTTTGGAGTACATCTCCAAGTGATAATGGCTCCTCGTTGCATAAATAAGTGTACTTTGACTTATGGCTAACTCGACACCTCTAGAAAAGATGTCATCAGTGGCCAGGTCTGTCATACACCTGAACACAACTGTGGATTATAAACAAAATTGTTATTTAATCATTGTAACTGAACCAACAACTGTGGATTATAAACAAAATTGTTATTTAATCATTGTAACTGAACCAACAACTGTGGATTATAAACAAAATGTGTATTTAATCATTGTAACTGAACCAACAACTGTGGATTATAAACAAAATTGTTATTTAATCATTGTAACTGAACCAACAACTGTGGATTAAAAACAAAATGTGTATTTAATCATTGTAACTGAACCAACAACTGTGGATTATAAACACAATTGTTATTTAATCATTGTAAATGAATCAACAACTGTGGATTGTGAACACAGTGTGTATTTAATCATTGCACCTGGATCATCGTCTATAGAATATGAACACAGGTTGTATTTGGGCTGTATAAATTTATTTTAACCAAGCTTAGGATAGATAACAAATGAAGCGCTCTCAGGTAGAGTGCTATATAGACCTATGTATATGTACAGTCGTGTGAAATCTGGACACTAAGCAAACAAACTGAAAAAAAAAAAATTAATTAATTAATTAATTATTTTAAAGCCCCGCTCCCGCTAGTGCCGG